CAATAGATTTTCCTGACAACCATATTCTCCTCGTAAAAGTTACCTGGGGCGATTGACAACACATGATTGTGCAAACGAATCTCATGATCACGAAGTAATTCACCCATGATTATCTAATACCCTATACTTAACCTACCTAGTATTCACTAAATTGTTTCACAACAAGTAGTGTTTCCATGAAGATGAAAAACTGGTGTACAATGCGCGGTAGAGGCTTGAGTTTAAAAATGAAAGACATTTGCCGACTGGGTCTTTCCGACTGCGGAGGTTTGCGTAGTATATCCACGGTGGGACGAAGTGATGGGGTTGGTAACAAGAAGTTAAACGTTGTAGGGCTCTTGGCGGGCAATACCACCCCAACGAATTCACACGGATAGAATTCAATGACTTGGATATGCACTGAGTACGTTCGACAACAGCCTAACGCGCCTGGACGTTTTCCGTTGACCCTCAAAGATGGAGGAAATCACGCAGAGGAAAACATGTGGTGTACAGACGAGATCTGCGAGTGCACAGAAAGATTGGGCACGACACATCTTTATCATCCACCGCATTCAGTTTAATTCAGTTTTACAGCCATTATCCATGCACTTTCGTGGGCCGGTTTTGGTTGCTGTCTCATGACTGCCCGTGTGGATGACGGAGTAAAAGGAAGATTGGAACGTTCAAATCAGTGCCAGAGTGAAAATAGGGAATTAATAAAGACAAAGGTTGCAGGGAAAAATGAAAAGATGCACGAGCGTTACCATTTACGACATTCAGCCATAGCACTCAATATCACTAACCATTGATTACAGTGAGCTTGATGTCCCCAACTAGGAAGCTTAACGCGAGCAAGTCTAAGGGTTGGGGTTTTCATACCACACTGAGGTTCAGAGGATTCTTTAGCTAGGAGAATGCCGCTAGAATAACAGTATAAACACAGGCGATTCATATATCACTCACCATTAAGATCATCGCACAGCGAAATACAATAAGGCGATCTTCACTGACCGCTGCCAACCTCGTAATGCATACAAGGTTAGTGGCAATATCTAAGGTGGACAGGGATTGGACCTATTTTCGGTGAAGAAGAAGGCGAACACAGAGTACACAATCGAACCCTACATTCTGGCTTGATCAGAAACGACAAGAACGCCACTACTGTCGGTTAGCTGCCATATCCCTCAATGTCTCCAACCAACCGGTTTTGGAGTTTTTCGGACCCCAACCTGGAAGGCGTGAGACACCTACTAAACCTAATAGCTTTGTACATCTCTTCATGCCTCGTCTCCACGTCATCTATTGACCTCCACGTGGTTTCCTCCAACCTGGAGCGAATACAGCGGATAAAACGCGGTGCGGCAGATGATAGTTGAGCATACGTGCCCCAGCCAGTGAATTCTACCAGTCTGAATTCGGTGAGCCAGCAGGTTTATCCCTGACAGACTCCCAAACACACGATGGCTTACCTCCAGATTACTAACCCGTTCGCTTCATCCCATGTCGGCTGAACTAAGTTAACACCGATAATCGAAAACTTCTAGCTAAAGGATATCTTCTACTCGCAAATTCAAGGTCCACCATCACGACCAGACTGCACCCTGACGTGGTGTAATGACTTGTGCACCTCTGACCCAACGACCTACACAGGATGGCTTTTGTCAAACCAGGAGATCTAATCATGTCTGGAAGGTCGAAGGGCAGAAGTCAGACGAAATCCTGTCTCCCGGTTCTCCAGGTTGGGGGTTCGACTAGAATTTACTTTGAAGTCGGTGGAAGATGGTGGAGGAATAATTGATCCAAGTAAATGGGTCTCTACTTCGCTTTATCCGCTGTCTTGCGGCTAGGTTCTTGTTAGAACTAAAGGCTTTAAACAAGAACCCTAAACGTTCTTCTGCTTAATGGCTGGACACCCTAGCAGTACCCGTCCGTCAAACCGCAATCCGTATGCAGTGCGAGTTGGGCAGAGATCAGTTAAGTTCGCTTCTCTGTATTTCTCTGTACGATGACGATGACGATGATGAAGGTCTCACAACCATAAAACAGAACTGAACGAACGGTGGCACAATACACACGAACTTTCAACTTCAGTGAAACGTCGCGTCTACGCCAAAGGCGTTTCAGGTCTGCGTATGCTGCTCGAGCCTTGGAAATACGGGTGATTATTTCTTTTGCTGCGACATCGTCATTGGTCACGCAAGCACCTAAGTACAAGTTGTGGCAGAGCCACAACTAATTCCTGGCCATTTCGTTTCAGAGCGGGAGTAGTCAATACCCAGTCTTGCAGCATTACTTCGCAATTTGAAGGTGCAAAACACATGCCAAATGCGGTAAAAGCACTTGTTAGTTTATCAAATGCGCTTTGCTCGTCCTCCGTACATTCCAACAGACAGACGATGTCACCGGCGTACTCCAAATCGCACAGTCTTTCTCCAGATGCCCATTCAATACCTACGTTTTGGAATCCACTTATTGCGTTCTCCAATGTTTCGTATACGACGAAACTGAACAGGAGCGGCGAAAGAGGGTATCCTTGACGAATGCCGCTGCTGGTGACGAACAGTCTACTTAGTTCATTACAGACCCTTACACGACCAGAGGTATACGAGTACAGTGACATCAGTAAGTTAACGTACTTCTGGGGCATTCCTTTTCGAAGAAGGGACCCCATCAGAACTTCGCAGTCAACTGAGTCGAAGGCTCCTCTCAAGTCGAGGAACACTGCGATCGTTGACCGCCGGTGAGTGTGACACAGCTCAAGGACCTGACGCAACATAAAAATTCGATCAATACATCCACGAATAAGCCGGAATCTGACTTGCTGTTCACGGATGTTGGTCTCTCTTAAAGGGGTCAGAAGTCGAAGTATGACCGAGGCCAGCACTTTGGTGACGATCGGGATCAAACTGATCCCGCGGTGGTTTTTGTTATTGCTGCGAGATTCTTTCCTGAAAATGGGAACAATCAGTGATTCGTCCCAAGATGAAGGAATGAGCTCTTCCGTCCAAATGTTGCGAAGTAAAGTAGTAATACAGCTTACGAGGTTATCACCCGCGTCTTGAAGAGTGGGAGGGAGCTCATCCGGTCCTGCTGACTTTCCTTGCTTCAGGGCCTGAATGCAAGATCGAACTTCGGCTTCTGCTGGAGGATCGCATGACACTGCCCACGGAGCTTAGGTTGCAGATGAATCAACCTGGTTAGCATTAGGCCAGCTGAACTGTTCGCTGAAGTATGCCGCCCAGTGATCAATTCGTTGATCCCTATTGTGAACAGCTTGTTCCCTCTTATCGCAGACTGCTTCACTAACTGGGGTTCACCGACTGAGCACATTACGTATCATTCAGCACAGTCTTTGACCATTTCCTGACGCAGCTGCCACTTCCATTTCACTAGCTTTTGTTTCCCATCAGTTCTCACTGTCTTTCGTGAGCTGACGTTATAGATGCCACCTAATTCTAATTTGATCCTGGCAGGTCAGGATTTATCGTTTTTGCTCCATTAGGGCTACTGACTCCTGAGATATCCAACGCCTCCGACGGGCTTGAGGCTCAGACCCACAAGCAACATTCGTTGCGGTATGCATTGCTCACCTAATCTGATCCCACTGCTCATCTACATCACTACGTTAAGGCGCGCTTAGCTTACACACTAGCTCTGATTCATAAGAGTGCACAAACCGCTGGAACAAATAGTCGACGATGAGCTATACCAGTTTGCTGGTTTTGTCGCCGATCAGTCAGTTGGAGAGTGAACTGCATCAAAACTGATGCGTAGTCAGACTGAACGCAGGTGGTCCAATAGGACCTGCAATTTTGCACTGAGCCACGCCAACGGTAGCTTACTGCTATGTGGTCGATTTGAGTTAGCGTACCAGTTGAACTGGAGCGCCACGTTGCTGTTCGTCGAGAGCTATCGGAAGTTGGTGCTGGATAGGAACAGATGATGGTCTACGCAGAACTGAAGAGGTCGATCGCCATTATCTGTTCGCTGGCAGGGCAGGGCAGGGCACAACTACCACCTAGGCTAGCTTCTGCTGCGCTCAGTTATCCAACCATGCGTGTTGAAGTCACCTGCAAGTACAACTATGTCGGAGCATTGACTCATCCGAATGAAATCGGTGAGGTCATCGTAGAAGGCGTCCTTTTGGGTATCAGAACTGCAATTGGTCGATACATATGGTGATACGATGAACAAACACCTTTTGGTGTTGCTTCCCTTCCAGAGGCTGACCGAACCCTGGAGACGCCCTGCACATAAACGACTGTTGACGGGGATTCAATCGATAAGAGACGACTTCAGCCCTGTTGCTGAATATAGTACCTATCCCACGCTGACCTAATGAGCGGGCTTCGTCGTCGCCTGATGTGCGAAGAACGAACCTCGGGGACAAATCTGGCGAGCATAAGTGGCTTACAGATGTTGGATCCTGAATTAGAGTCTCCAACACGCAGCAAATTTCGATCCCTAAGGATTCCATTGTACGTGCCAGACAAAATGTTTTACCTACCGGTATCAGGGTCCACACGTTGAAGGCCCACAGGTTAATGAAGCGTCAGAATTTGCAATCCATTTCGTAGTACATTATTTATAGTGCTCTTTGGCAAAGACCGTTGGTGAGCGACATCCAAGTTGCTTGAGCGACTATTACAGGTCGGAAGGAGCAAATGGGATGGGCTGGGTGATGAAGACAAAGAACTAAACGAAGGTTGGGATATCTGAGCAGTAGCCCACTTATCACTCCTACCCCGCTCGATACTATGGACAGCGCGGTCCTCATTATCCTGTACAACAACCGATGCAGTATGGAATTAGTTTTGTTTGTGTATGCATTGGAGTTTGTTTTGGACGGGTACTGCTAGGGTGTCCAGCCATTAAGCAGAAGAACGTTTAGGGTTCTTGTTTAAAGCCTTTAGTTCTAACAAGAACCTAGCCGCAAGACAGCGGATAAAGCGAAGTAGAGACCCATTTACTTGGATCAATTATTCCTCCACCATCTTCCACCGACTTCAAAGTAAATTCTAGTCGAACCCCCAACCTGGAGAACCGGGAGACAGGATTTCGTCTGACTTCTGCCCTTCGACCTTCCAGACATGATTAGATCTCCTGGTTTGACAAAAGCCATCCTGTGTAGGTCGTTGGGTCAGAGGTGCACAAGCCATCACACCACGTCAAGGCGCAGTCTTGTCGTGATGGGTATTTATCACTACACCGCAAAAACTGGCCGAATTGCTGCAACCCTTGATATAAAAACAAACGGCTGTCGTTTTGAGACCAGCGGCAACTCAAATCGGCAAATCAAATCGACCATATCCGAAATACATCTCATACGTGAGATGGGAAATAAAACACCACATTATGCCATACACCTTTAACTGCCAAAGTTAGATTGGAGTTGAATAAAGTTAGCATTGTCTTCATGCAAAACCAGTATCACGTATTGAGAAAGTGTCCAAAAGGTATTCAAGAGTCTTTTTGTAGCAGCACAAAGTCCTGTCTTGGTTTCTGAGAGAAGCTTCAAACCACTTGTGACACAAGATAACTGCTAAAACTACGTTTACCACATGGTTGAGAAAGAGACAGAGGACAAGCTTGTCGAGCTCCGGTTTTTAATTGCTCTCTATGGTTGAGGGTTACGTTAACTAATTTTATTTTCCTCCTAGAAAGGCCTGAAATCACTAATTCGTAATTTTCAATAACTAAAAACGAACAAAAAATTCAAATACACGCGAATCAACTAAGAAAAACTACTTCAAAATAGAATATCCAGAAGTGAGCCATCGGTTCAGAGTTACCTTAGTATGAATTAAAGAGATAATTGGAAAGTCCAACTCACCGGAAGACAAAATTCCTCGAATGCTGGTTTCACGTATTTAAAATAGTTGTCCAAAACCTGATCCAGTGAGCGTCCTTTTTGGGACACATCACTCAGCACTGTGAAGTCAATAATAAACTAGAGATTACACTCACCTTTTCTGCACAACCGTGTATCCGCATCAGACTCAATGAAAATCTTTATGTTGAAGATATCCCTGATTTCCTTTTGATAAAAAGTCAATATACCTTCCACTATTACGACATCAACATCCGACGGTATCTCGAGACAGTTTGGGGTGCTGAGGAGGTATAAACAAGCAAATTTTGAGGAATACAAACTTGGCATGTGAAGAACAGTCGTATATCTGCAAAGTGACTTCCTCCCGTTGCCTAATCTTCCGCAACACCTCCAGTAAGTATTTGAAATCGAACGAATCTGTTACAAAACAGGTACGAAGAAAGAAA